TTCGGAATTTCCCATAAAATATCCGTGTTTGGGTGTTGTAACTGACACTACGGTTCTCCTTACATACGGGGAGTGGCTCATCCCGTTTTTCCTGTAGCATTTCGGCTTTAGACCAGTTTCACCGTCTAATCCTGGAAGCAATTCATGGTCAAAAGGTGTATGCGGCCCCGAATTTGATCGTCAGACCGAACGTAACTCCACATCCATTTGGAACTGTCGAGGAGACCAGGTACGGTTCCTCAGTCTCATGCTATCTGCCGACTGGTGTGGTTGGCCCGTGGGTACTTTCATTTATTACTGAATACGTGATGGCTGGGGCGGGAAGTGTACCAAAGGGGAGCGCCGAGGACGTCGCACAAAAGCAGAGGGGGGGACAGTGTAAGGCTCTGTTCATATGACTACTTGACGTTTGGCGGTCACCTTAGGACTTGCCATGGCCTACAGACCATGCCCAGGCCCCTTTGTTCCTCGTTTTCATAATATATGTATCCAGCACCACTTAATGACTTCTGTTGCCGACTAGGAAGCTCGGACCGCTACAGATGTAATGCAACGTATCGTTTGTGCAACTATCTGCACTTTAACGACCAAGTTGGCTTTAGTGAGGGCTGTGATTTAAGCTAAGTCATAGCCTCGTTTGTAAAATTTCAATATGAAGAAATGTATTTTACCATACCTGGAGCCTCCTATGACCGACAGCAGTCTTAAGATGTTACAATAAAATTCTTGGACCACTACACACTTGCATTGATTTTGCTTAGCAGTGGTGATTTTCATTTGTGGAATAATGCTAGGGTGTCACTGTTATTTAAAAGCAATTGGCTTTATAAATTATGGTTGAATTATGAACCCTTGCTAGATAATTATACTTTGTATCAAATTTTGGTCTAATCTGTAATTCATTGCCTCAAAATCTTATATCTTTACTAAACATAACTGGTTTTACCAAGCTAAAGATTTGGCGAACCCTCCAAAATATTTAGACGATAGTGTATTGTGTTGCTGCGGATTTCGTGCCATTTCTTTTATTTGTCAGGTGTTTAGTCTTATACATCCAAATCGTTCCAAACGGAGTTCATAATAATGGATCAAGATGATGGCAGTGAGCCGGAAATCTGTGCTCAGATCCTCGAGCTTGAGAACTCTGAGATGGCTTCTGGCGTTTTATCCTCAAGTCAGTACTTGAACCTTCTTTGCCTTTACTTGAGGACTGACAACCTAATGGCTGCTAGGTTTTTGTGGAAACGCATTCCAGATGACTGCAAGACCGACGAACCTCACCTGAAGTCTGTCTGGAACCTTACTGTCTTGCTGTTGAGGCGGCGGAATTGTGAATTTCTCTCTTCGTGTCAAGAATTTTTAAGAGTTACTGATGTCTCTCCATCTATCCAGTCTCATTTATCCACTGTATATCAAAGAATACAGAGCTCTACTGTAGATCTGATCAAGTCTGCTTTCTCTTGCATATCCGTCGAAAAACTGTGCTCTATGTTGAGTTTATCTCAGGATGAAGCTGTTGGTTTTTTGGAAAATTGGACCCCCTCCTCTGATGGCCTTTTCTTGATTGAACCCTCTATACCTCACTTACGTGTTAATTGCACAGACCGAGACAAAACTGTAACGAATTTTATGCAAACACTCACAGAGTTCAGCTCGTTCATGGAAAATATGTGAAAAATAACTTTAACATAACTAGTTTGTAATTAAATGTGGCCTTTCTCTATGCTTGTTCATTGTTGTTTCTGTAAACTTGTGGCCGAAATAAAAGGTGCAGTTCGTGTTAGCTACCTGTGACTGCGTTTTTTTGCGCATGCTTAATATTTGCCTCTGATTTGATTCCGTGCATTGGTGGTGTAAGTACATTTTCGGCAAAGGAAGCGACTAGCGCATTTCTCATCCCTAACTAGACCGAGGCTTTGCCAGAACAAGCTGTTCTGAACACTAGCTCTGGTGGCTGCAGCACTGCAGTTGAGACGTTGCGTCTGCAGTGCCCTCAGTGCCCGTTTCATACCACCAGTTCTGTAACTCTCCGTCAGCACGCCTGGACTAACCATTTGGATGGAAATCAGACATTCCAGAGTCGCTTCTACACTTGTTCAAGATGCACAGCAGCCACCACCGACCTCAGCAGCCTCCGTGACCACTTTGCTCAGGCGCACAATATGCATGAACCTGATGTAAGCTAACATGTTTGTTGTTCCATTTTTGTGAAAGGGATGATATGTCTTTTAATATTGGTTTTATCATTTGCAACTTTGGCAAAAATCGTAAGGCAATGCTTTTTCGAACTTGGTCCACAGCACGGTTTTCGTGACTGTACTACCTTTGAAACTCGCTTCTCCAACCGTTGTGGGCATCTCATAATTAAAGCATCCGCATTACTTGATGTTAAATTCATCACTTTTACTGATGTGATCAAGCTCTTGGTAGTCACTAGTCTATTTTGGTTTTGCTTATGTTTATCTGAATCCATATATCTGTCTTGTGTTTTGCATAATTGTTAGTGTATTTTACCATGCAAATGGACGCTTTATTTGGATAATTTAGGCGATGATGTCATTATTTGATTCTGACTTAGAGCTTGACTAAGGGAAAGCACTTTTGTACCTGTTTTGATTTTTAACACATCATTATTGGGTACTTAGGTAGTTATAAACTACACACACAGGTGCTCGAATTACTTTGAATTTTGTTCTATTTCTTACACCTTTTTATCTAGTTCAAAAGTAGAAAAAATGAGGGCCTGCTTTCACCAACGCTGCTAATGAGCAATCAAAACTTAGTTCCTTGTCCTCACAAATATGTACTCGGTAAAGTTGCTAGCACTGCTTTATAGGTGCGAGTTGTTGTCACCTGGATTACCCTCACCCGTGGTGCAGTGCCCCAGACGGATGCGCGCACTCCCACTCCTTCTCCTCCTTCACCTGCTGTGGCGATTGAGGCAAGCGACGATAATGCGTTAATGGTAGTCGAGGACTGTGGAACTACCGAGGTCTCTCCCGTCTCCCCACCGTTCGCTGAATCTTCGCACGATCAATCTACAGTCGCACCTCCTCCGCCGCCTGCAGCGGAGTCGCAGGATTGGTCTCAACTTATCAGCCGGATGGATAAAAAGTTCTCCTGCCTCCTTTGTATCGCCTCATCACCTTCCGTCTACTTTTATAATGGTCGAACTGAAGTGGTTTTTCATGTGGTTACTCGTCACCTCCTTCGGGTGAGCTTCCACCAATTCATCTGTGCAGTTCTGAGACACCGTTGAGGCTCTCAAAATATCCATTACGCATTTTTTGCAGAAAGAAATTGAAGACGATCTGGCTCATCACAGGAAGCTGACAAATAAAATCAAGCAACGAATCGGTGTCCTTTTTGTTGACGGGATGCATATTCGTTCCGGTGTTCACTACAAGGTTTGCAGCTGCTTACTAAATTAATGATGCCTACTGTAAGAATATAAGTAGAAACGTTATCGCCTTGTCAAGGATGCAGAACGAGTAGAGGCGGCACTCTTTCACTCAGTTGAGTTACATCTGCGCTGGAAAGCTGTCCCTGGGGCTGACACCTCCTTACCCCCGCAGAATATGTTCACCTGTTCAGGGTGCCAGGCTGTGTTTCACAATGAGCAGGTTTGTTTACTCTGCCAAGTGGTAACTCGGGTTCGGACTCGATTAACAATAACCCTCTTACTTCTGTTAGCTGCTTGAGTATATTGTCACGACTGTATTTTAAGCTTCAATTGTTATGAGTTGCTCTACTTTTTCGATTTGTTCTTACTCTAGTAACATGAAAAAAGCGTGGTTTTTCGGACTTCCAACTAAATACGGATTTGTACAAAAGACTTTTGTAGCAAAAGACTTTTTACCGAGCATATTTGATTGGGCTCCTTTAGCTAGTGTTGTGTTTCTTTTTTTCTGCTGCAGATGGCAGTGAATCACATAAATCAGGAACTGAGAGCTCAACTGCCGGACTTTATGCGCGCCCGCTCCTGTCCCTGGTCTCTGAGTGCCCGAGATGAGTGGGTGTGGTGCGTACCTGACCTTCAATCCTCACCGACAACGCAGCAACAGCATTCTCTGCCACTCTCACAGACCGCACTCTCCCCCACTGCTCCTTCGCCACCTCCTCATGACTCCTCCACGACCTTGCTCACCTCAGAGACCAGGCTCCCTAAGAGCCTCCTCTTTGCTAGTATTAACAACACCGCCGCCTCTCCTTCCTCTTCTGCATCGCGTCGATTGTGATCAATCAGGTGTTTCACTCTCGCTGTGATAAGTTACTTCGCGTTTCTGTGTTATTGCCTTCGTCTACTGTGCCATTCTTTATCATTCATTCTCTATTTTACGCACCACTTTTACTGGCCCATGATGTTGTCAAATCTCAATACATACTTTTGTCCCATTTTTGTCTAGCTTTACTCCGGTTTTACTCATCTAAGGCTCATGGAGGTCAAAGAACAATTTTCACTTGAATGTTCGAATATGACACAGCTGCTTAGACCTAAATGTCTGTCAAAAATGTGCACGTGGCAACAATTAGCTATTGGGGTCAACTGATAATCGCGATGCCTTTCATATTTGTTGATATCCTGCAAACATTCTCGTTCTCGGTATCTCAGCCTTCGTGTATGCTCCAGGGAAAGCTTTTTAAACAATTTAACCACTGCAGATGAGGTTGGAATCCACGCGTCTTAAAATTTTCAAGTATGACATCTTGAAGGTCGTAAGTCGAGTTGAGACGTGACGGGCCTACGTTAGGTGTGCAGCTAGGTACAGTTTTTGAATACCTCACGATTACAACCACTTTCACTATTGAAACACGCAGATCTAATAATCAACTCTCGGTTTCTGTCTCTGTAGTTCACGTAAACAGTAGAGAATACGGCATCCTGCGCGATCAATTCATGAGTATAGGTGGTGGGACACAGTTATCCCATTGTTTGCAGTTTGCATTCAAAGTAAAGCAGAATCGATGCTAAAAAATTTTCACAATACAGTAGAAAATTACCGCAGATGTTCATTCTAAAAGTGCATTCATGTGCTACTCTAAATGGGATGCGAACGACTTGGGTAAATTCAAAGTGCGGGCGCCTCAACGTGTTTGCTATCAATGTCTCAGGCTCGTATTAATAGAGGTGTGCTGCACCTAATCGTCTCGACAACATTAGAAGAACGTCAAAGGCCGTACTTTAACACGGCATTATCTTGATGTCGTCATGTTTTCGTCCTAGCTCATCCTTCCATTCACCACAGCGCGGACATTTTGCCGTTCCATTGGGAAACCAATTGTGGACAACTTTTGTGCTATAACACGTGAAATGTTGTAGGCGAATTAGGTGG